GCAGAATGACTTTACTAACACCTCATTGCATGCCACCTGGCCCAACAAATCATGCAAATTTTAGATTAGATACTGGCAATTTTCATTCACTATTGAGTCCCCAACGTACTAAAGGACTCAATTCAACAGACCCTTCAAAGTATTTTAAGTGAGGTAGGCATATTTCTGTGGAAAAGCAGGTTACACATCTTACAGGTTATGAAAAAAACTTCATGTAGACTGTGCTATTCCTTAATTTTCATTGAAATAAATGGTTCCCAAGAAATCCCTCAACTGCCTTCTCAGCCCTGTTACCCTAGAGAAATTATCACTGTTTCAAGTAGGCTTAAGCATTGCTCAAAACTAGGTATGTATTTAAGGCATTAATGTTTGTAAATGAAAGCACTGTGCTTCATTAAAGTTAAAATTGATTCTTTAATTACCATGTTAAGTTTCAGAAACTGAAAAAAGGAGAGAAAAAACACTTTAGAAAATTTATGGCTGGAATGGAATGGAAGGAGCAGAAAAAAAATTATCTAAGCACCTCCAGAAGTCAAATCGTGTTTTCAATAAGGGGAAGAGAGAAAGAAAGGGAAGACACATACACACAATCACCAGAAGAAGAAAACAAACCCTCCCTTCCACTGAGGCTTTGCTGATGCTGAAGTACATGCACAGAATACTCTCCCACCTGCTATAGTGCAACATGGCCAACCTGGACTGCTCAGAGCACTACTCTCAGCTGCATCCCAGTGACACTGCAGCATAAGATGTAGCTCTTGTGAGAGGAAGTAGACAGCTTCTGGTGAACTGGAGGGAGAAATGAAAAGAAACACAGGGGAAAATGATTGATATCAAAGAGGAGGAATCAAGAGGACCTTCCTTACATATGCAGGGCTTAGTGGGAGCCACTGGAACTGGTGGTGGCGATTCCCTCTCCAGAACAACCAAAGGCAAATGTGAGAATCCCACACTTTGAGGAGACAGCAGCCATGATGGTATAAAGCCACTTGTTCCTTCCAGTCAGCCTGTACCTGCTTAGTGTCCTCCAACTCTATAAAGGCTCTCAAAAAAAAAAAAAAAACAACTAGGGGAAAAAAAAAGTAGGAAAGTCAACATCCATTTTGTCTGGCAATAGTGCACCCTTTTGACATTAACTATAATTCATCAGATGCTGAATTATTTTTGCTTTAGTCATCCTGCTGTACTCTTACACAATTCAGGTTTGTAACAGAAGACTTTTTAGACTTCACTAACATTCACATACACATTTTTTTTTAGACAGGCTGTACCACAGTGCCTTGTCTTTAAGTCTGCTGCTTTCTAAAATGTCACAGCATTCAAAGAAAAGGTTTTGTTTATCAGCTCTCAGACCTCACTGATGCAAGAGAACTACTTTTGTTCTACTACTTTAGTTTCAGTCCTTCAGAATGCACAGAACCACAAATGGAAAAAAAGATTTAAAAATACATGACACTTCTTTACATGTCCAAATTTCAAAGCTCCCTCTGCTGCAAATGCAAGTCACATTCAACTTTCATTTAAAGTTAAGTAAGCTTGAAAACACAGAAAAGGGCAAACTCCCCTTTCCCTGTCATCTAAAGAGGTATTTTATTGCACTGACGGGAGCCATTGCATTCCAAAGCAGTACTGGTCCCCCCAAAAACACCGAATAAACTTGCCTCTCCCTGCAGATGCACTGCTGAGAGCAACAGGGCAGCGCGACATAGAGAAGAGGGCACTGAGAGGGGACATCATCAAGGTCCCTAAGTGTCTAAGAGAGGGGATATCCCTTAAGACCGTAAGAGAGGATGGATGCGGGCTCTTCTCGGCGGTGCCGTGCAACAGGACAAGAGTGAATGGGCAGAAACCGATGCACAGGAAGTTCCACCTGAACATGAGGAAGAACTTCTTTACTGTGCGGGTGCCCGCACACTGAACGGATTCCACAGAGGGGTTGTGAAGTCTCCCCTACCGAAGATATTCAAGAACTGTCTGGACGCAATCCTGTGCCACGTGCTCTAGGATATCCCTGCTGGAGCAGGGAGGATGGACCGGATGACTCTCCCGTGGCCCCTTCCGACCCGACCCATCCAGTGCCACCCGGTCTCACCCCACCGCCGCCTCCCGGGCAGGCAGGGGCACGGAGCCAGCGCTGCGCTGAGCCGCCCCCGGCCGGGCCCCGCTCCCCGCTCCGGGCTCTGCTGGGCCGCACGGCCCCGCCAGCCCGATCCCGCCAGCCCCGCGGAGCCGCCGCGCCCCCGCCCCGGGACCTGCGCCCCCGCCCCGCCCCGCCCCGGGCCTGGCCTCGGCCCCGGCCCCTGCGGAGCACCACGAGCAGCGCAGAGCGGCCCAAAGGCGGCCCCACCGCCCCTCCGCGGGCAGCCCGGCACGCCGAGCCCACCTGGCGCCCTCGCCGCCGCCGAGGCCAGCGCTGCCCGCAGCGCCCCGGCTCCGGAACAGGAAAGCGGTGGGAGGCGCTGCGGGCGGAAGCGCCGCCCGCCCGAGGGGAGCGACGGCATGAGCGGAGCGGAGCCGGGGCCCGGCCGGGCCGCCCGGCGGCATTACCCGGCCCTGCCCGTGTGGGTGGTGGAGGACCACCAGGACGTGAGTGCCCCGCGCTGGGCTGCCGCGGGATGGGGGCTCCCTCGGGTGCGGCGTGGGGAGGGGTTTCGTTTGTTCCCGTTCGTGTGCTCGTTCGTGTGTTTCTCCGCGGCGCCCCGGGAGATGCGCTTTCCCCTCATGTGTGCGGGTCTCCGGCTCCACCTTGGGAGCTGCCCTGCGCTCCGCAGCCGCACCAAACCCCAGACCTGCCTTCCCTTCCGCTGCTCAAACATCCGTGAGCTTCAGTGCCCAGGTGACCTGATTTTGGTTCCCGATTCACATACTGAGTTACTTATGGCCATGATCGCATTCTGGCATCTTTTTAAGTAATTATTGCTGACTACTTTTTTCTTCTTTGTATCGTTAATTGCTATGGTTTAAAGGAAATAATACCTACGTTACACTGTTGTTATAGTTTGTTAGCTGTTAGTGGGGTGTTTGGAATCTCAGCCCTACCCAGTGTATGACATATCAACAGAAGATAAATAAATATAATCCCATCCCAACAAGTAGACTGACTTGACAAGAAATGTTAAAAATCTGGAGCTTTGCTTTTTTTTCATGGAGTCACTGAAAAAGGGAGTGAAGAAGGAATTGCTTTTAACTGCTGTTTCTCATGGGGTTTTTTTATAATAGCGTAAACTGAGGCTTTAATCCTAAAATAACAGATTCTTTACTAGATTATTTACAAAGAGAAAATATGAGTGTAGTAAAGTTCATTAAAGAAAACAGTTTTATGAATTTGTAAGTCGTTTAATGCAATTCATTTTTGCTAAGAGTCAATGAATATCTGATGCTGTGATAGCCCATTTTTCATGGTAGCCAAGGACTTAGAGTGTTGCTGTGGTAGGAATCCTGAGATAATGCCTTTTAATCATCCTTAGTTTTAGTCTCTATATTACTGTTTTCATTTAGCTTAAAATTCTATTAATACTAAATACTTAATTTTAAGTGTTTTCAGTATAGGAGTGTGGTTGAATTGGTCTGTCTTGCATAAAACATATATGGTTTTTTGTCCCAAAGCGTAAGAACTTCACAGAAAATTTTATATCAGCCTTGCTGACAATGATGTTCCTCCAGAGCAAGATGTCAATAGCTGCATTGTGCACTGATTAATGGTAACAGCTGTCATGAAGGAATTATTTTTCTTGATCCAAATCAGGAGAACTTGCAAGGTTAGAGAACTTAGTTTCTAGCAGCTCTTGCAACCAGTAGTTGCACTTACCTGAGGTGAAGCTTCAATTCCAATTGAAATTATTGTAGGTTCTTTAGTAGGCCAGATTGCTTCTTTTTTACAAAGAAGTAGAAGCCATAGATCAAGGAACCCATGTTGTTTGTAATCTTGTTTTATCTACTATTGTATTAATATACATATGTTTTACAGTTATGCCTATGCAGTATGCAGGGTTTGTCATCTTAATTAGTTTTATGCCAAAAAAAAAATAGCTCAGTTGCTGTTGTAATGTAGAGGTCACACATAATTTTTGTTGCTTCTTACAATCCTCACATTCCCTGTATAACAGGGCCATGAGTCACAATCCTTGTTGGATTTGCTCTGGCAGCCAAGGCAGCTGATGCCCTCTAACTGTGGAAGAGACTCTGTGTATTGCAGTTCAGTGGTTTGCTATGCTGTAAATTGGTGAGTTGCTTCATCTCCCATTTTACACACCTCTGAGTGAAGAACTTCATTGCAAACACTTAGTCATGAAGGGATTAGGAATTAATTCTTCAAGAGGAAGATGCTTAATGGTCAGCTAAAGTTTGAATCATGGTGGGGGCAGTTTTAAATCGGTTAACTTATAAGGAGCAAACTGTTTCTATCCCCATAGCACCAGTGCATGGTGAGGAGGCTATATAGCATGGGGAAAGAAATACATGGGCAATGATCTGCAGAAGAGGAAAGGCATTCCTGGGGCATAGTTGGATGTAAATTGAAGAAAAAAAACATCTGGGAGTTGAGTTGAATGGCTAGTGAAAAGAGCTACTGCAAACAAGACTTCCTATAAAGAAGGAGTAAGGATGTAAAGCTGTGACTTTTCAGCAGTTTCTCATCTGGACCACTGGGGCTTATAATGATTAGTGTTCATAAGTGTCTTGCCACTGGAGTTATTTCCCCTTTGTATTGTTTACTGTCTCCTCCTCCCTCTAATCCAAATTCTAAAGGAATGAAGGTGGTACTGGTGGTTTTGCTGCTAAAGCCATTGCATTTTTCAGCCCACTGGTTATCATTAAAATGTTTTTATTCATGTTGCTTTAGGTGCTGCCTTTCATCTATCGTGCCATTGGTTCAAAGCATCTTCCTGCCAGTAACATCAGTTTTGTTCATCTTGATTCCCATCCAGACCTTCTCATTCCTGTGAATATGCCTGCAGACACTGTATTTGACAAAGAAGCTCTTTTTAGGTAAGTCCTGGCTACTGCATCAGAGTAGACTATAAGTCTACTTCTTGCTGCCTTTGATTCACAGTGAATATTGGTTGGACTGCATAGGAAGGTGTATATATATACAAGAGGTATAAGTCAGATTCAAGTTGTATCTTCTGTCTTTTTAGCTGCAGCTTTGTTTTTTAATGGCAAAAGTTACATTGCATATCAAGCAATTTAAAATGTACGAGTTTGCTTTGTGTATTTGCTCAGTAGTGTATGATGGTATTATCCCAAGTAGTTCCTCTGGGTAACAGGAAAGCACTCTGCATGGATGCTTTGTCTGAAAAGCTGTAGTTAAAACAGTCTTTCTCTCTTCACACTGAAAAAACTGACTGAGATTGAAATAGCACATCATCCTGTGTTGGCATGCTGAATATGTGAAGGAGAACAAGATATTCCTATTTTAATCATGAAGACCAGTATTTTTCCCCACCATCTAAGGTAGGTAGGCAATAAGCCACAGTGATCTCTGCTATTGTCTTACTCTTCCTGTTTTAAAATAAATATTGTCCGCTTCAGTATTATGGTGATTTACAGCAATTACAAGCTGATGGTGTACTTGAATCACCTTAGCCATAGTCAATATTTTGTTCTCTTTGTTGGATGACTTAAAGGTTTTGTGGACTCTATCATAAAATCATCAAATTCTTTGGGTTGGAAGGAACCTTAAAGATCATGTAGTTTCAACTCTCCTTCCATAGGCAGGGACACTTTCCATTAGACCAAGTTGCTCAGGTCCCTATCCAACCTGGCCTTGAGCACTTTTGGGCATGGGTCACATACAACTGCTTGGACAACCCATTCCTGTGCCTCACTACACTCACACTGAAGAATTTCTTCCTAGTGTCTAATCAAAACACAGACTCTTTCAGTTTAAAACCTTGTCCTATCACTGCATGCCCTTGTAAAAAGTCCCTCTCCAGCTTTCTTGTAGTCCCTTTTGGGACTTGGATATTGGAAGGTTTCTGTATATAAGGTTTTGCAGCTCTGAACAACCCCAAGTGTCTCAACCTATCCTCATAGGAAAAGTATCCCAGCCCTCTGATTGTTTTTGTGGCCTTCTCTGGACCTGCTTGAACAGGTCTGTGTAATTATTATGTGGAGGGCCCAGAGCTGGATGCAGCACTCCAGGTGTGTGGTCTCACAAGAGCAGAACAGAGGGGCAGAATCCCCTTCTGTGACCTGCTCATTATGCTTCTTTTTCTGTAGCCCAGGATACAGTTGGCATCATACCCCTAAAAAAAAAAGGGTCTTGATAATGAGGAAAGATGCTAACCTCTGGATGTAGATTGACTCACTTTAGTTACTGGGATGACATTTAAAATACACTTGAAGCAGTTTGCAATAAAACACTCTTATGAGGTCAGTTGGAAGTTACTTAGAACAATGTTGATGATGTTCCTTGCTCTTTTCTCTGTCTGATGTATCAAGAGAAAAAGGGCATAGAGTCACAGAATCATGAAGGTTGAAAAGGCCTCTAAGATTATCGAGTCCAGCCAATAACCTAACACTGCCAGGTCCACCACTAAGGAGTGAAGCCAATTCCACTCTATGTCCAGACTTCTTTATACCTACTACAGACATGGTTGGTTTGTCTTAGGAATAAAGATTTCCCTCTTTTTCTTTCTTTGATGATGTTACCCTTACAAGGAGTGCTAATTTTAGATGATTTGCTTTGGGGTCTTGAAGGTGTGGAAGATGTTCGTGGCATTTTTATTTATAGGGAAAGTAACATTGCTATCTTCTGTCTTTCTCTACTGATTACAGTGAATTAAGTATTGAAAACTGGATTATGCCTGCTGTTTATGCTGGCCATATTTCTCAAGTAGTGTGGCTTCACCCACGCTGGGCTCAGCAGATCTCGGAAGGGAAACACAGTTTTCTGATTGGGAAAGATGTATCAACAACAACGATCAGGTAAGTTATCTGCTGACATATACTAGTAATATAAAAGCCATCTCTACAGCTTTTCATTGGAATTTTCTTTGTTTTCTTGGACAAAGATGGGTATTTTATTTCTAATTTCCTTAGAACCTAATGCAGTTGCACTTCAATTTAGTCTTTGGTCTAACCAGTAAAATTGTTGTTTGGTATCAGCCATGACTCTTTTTCTAGTGTGTTGTAGGTTTTTTTGTTTGTTTGGAGTTTTTTTGTTTGTTTGTTTTTTGAAGTTAATCTAGTAAAGTACTGAAACAGGTACTCAGGTAGTGAATTCTCCATCATTTGATAAAGGACAATTTACCTGAGCAGCCTCATCTAGCTTTGAAGTCAGTTCTGCTTTGATCAGATGATTGACTAGAGACATCCAGTTGTCTCTTTGAATCTTAATTATTCTGTGATTCAAGTTCAAATCAGAGCCCCTCATCGTTCTGCAGGATGCAGTCCATAATAATTTTGCGTTCACCATATTCACAGTGTTGTGATTTTGTGCAGCTTTAATATTTGCAAATCATGTCTCTTGTGAGCATAGCAGAATAAATCTTTTGAAGCAAGTTTAACAGAAAATGACAGAGAAATGCTGTGTTTTATCACCTTAAATAAAACACCTAAAGCTCTACAATTCTGAATCTGAAGCTTAAAGGGAACCTAAATGATTTTTTAAAAAGCTTGTTCTTTCTGTTACACTGAATCATTTAGCCAATATATAGGAATACTTCATGATGGTTGAAAAGCTCTCTCGCTGGTGGTCTTAGCAGTCATGAAAACAACCTTTCAGACTTCCTTTTGAAGACAGTTGGGTACTTTTTCTTCAGGTTCTAGGCTTACCAAATCCATGAAGGAAGAAAGGGAAAGAATCCTCATAAATACAAATGTCCTAAAAATTTTGATGACAAGAGATGGATAGGGAATAGATACAGCCTCTTTGTTAGTGGACACTAAGGTGCTATGAGCTCATGGTGAACCCTGCAGAATTTCTGGGAAAATATGCTGTGAATGCCTTGTCAACAACGTGGAAGTTGTAATCCAGCATCTCACCTTGACAAATTGAGGGTAATCCATCTGCAAGACACTGGGAAAATGAAGCTTCAGATTTCTCCTACTTAGGAAATTATTTGTCTTTGTGATTGATTGATGGTGATACCCTGTATTCAAATGAGGCCTTACCGCCAGCAAACAGAAGTTCACACTGCTTAATCTGGTTTGTAATTTCATTAATTACAATGTAATCATTATGCTTAAGGCTTAATGTACAGGTTGAAAATTCTACTCTTTAAATTTTCATTGTAAGCAGAAGTTTTAGTGTTGTTTTTTGTTGGTTAGTTGTTTTGTGGGTTTTTTTTTAAGTGGATTCGATTGATAGTTATCTATTTATCCTCTAGGTACTATCTTTATCACTTAGGGAATCTGTTGGGGATAAAAGAGTTAAACTTAGGAATTCATTGTATTGTACTTTCACTAATTCAATATTTATGCATTTCAGGGCATAACTTCTCAACCCCAACTATCATAATTTTCCTGGAAAATTATAAAACCAAGACAAAATATCCATAAGTTTACTATGTTATATTCCATAATATTGATAATATCTCGTCAATTCTGGATGTTGTCTTTAAAGTGCAATTAATTTTCAAATTAATCTTAGTAGCACATAATGCATTATCTTTCTTATCCACTAAAACTTTGTAGGGATATAATAAAAAATATAGAGTGAATTTTAATATATTCTACAATAAAGAAGTAGAAGAAACATCAATATAATTTAAACCTGAGGATTAAAGGAAATAATTTTGTCTACACAGTTTTATTGTTTTCATTACCCATCAAACATCTATGCATTCTTCTCTGGATCCCTAAAAGTATAAAATGTTTTTTTCCTAAGCTCTTTGTGAAGATGTGTATTAACTGTGAGTTATTGTCAATTGTAGGGTTACAGGCACAGATCATTACTTCTTAAGTGATGGTCTTTATGTTCCTGCTGATCAGCTGGAAAACCAGAAGCCTTTAAATTTGCACGTCATTCTCATCAATCCTACTGAATCATCAAACAGCCGTGAAGGAAATGGTGAAGTAACATCTGCTAAAAGGCTGAAGCTAAATACAGATGACACTGCAAGTACCACTTCTGCCTCTTCAGTGGCTCCTGATGACTTTGATCACATCATCCCAAGTGTGAAGGAAAAGGAGATACAAAATGCAGGTGCCCTGAATGGGGCAGAAGCCTTGGCAGAGGGCTCAGCTTCAAGCTGTCTCAAAAACAGTGAATGCCCAATAAGGGAAATTGTTAAAGATGTCTGCCAAGTACTGCAGAAAGGGGATGCATATGTTTTGGACATCGACTTAGATTTTTTTTCAGTTAAAAATCCATTTAAAGAAATGTACACACAGGTACGTGTGGAAATTGAGTAGCCTTGTACCACTTACAAAAAGAGTCCCAGCCTTAGTATTTATGTCTATGGAGAAGCTCTCATCTAAGCTAAATTAGCAGATTCACTGATAGTGGTTAATGATTCATGGTAATATTTTCAAGAGATATTCCTGTTTTAAAGAAATATTTCTAAGAGAGTGGTAAAAAATTGCAACCACCAAATAGGAAAGTTTTGTACACTTGGTATCAGTATTGAGTGTACATTCAAACTCAGGGGTATACTCAACTTCTGTTTGTTGCTTGGGTCATAAAAGCCATGGTTGGGTTTCCAGAGGTTACCTTCCAAATACCCAAAGCAAGATTCATCGGGGAAAATGAGAGACTATAGTTTTTTACCCTCTATAACCTGTGCTTAGAAAGCCATGATGGTATCAGAAGACTGCCTTTGAAAAGGCACAGTAGCGTTGATTATCCAAAGAGTGATAGCTTGTCTTGGTGAGAGGTTGTTATGCTCATTATTGTCTGCAGTACTAGAGTAGGGAAATTATCTTTTTTCAAAGAAGGAAGGCTTTGAAGATTGGGTTCGTCATTTGAAGAGTCATTTTCTTCCTTTCTTTTTTCTTTTTCAAAGACAGAATATGAGCTTTTGCAGGAGTTGTACAATTTCAAGAAGCCACATAAAAATGCAACAGAGGTATGATGCTTCCTTGTGGAATATATGAAGGAGTGATTCTTTTTATTTACCCAATGAAAATGAGTTACGACAACAGGAAGGAGCCTATCAAAGGTGCTTAATGAAGTGGTCTCACATTAAGCTAGGCAGCCAAATGCTGATCAGCAGCATCTTAGGAATTTTTTTATATTAAATGTTTTGATTAAACATGTGTATTGCATAAATATTTAGCATGAGTGTGAAAATTTGTTTCTGTAAACAAATGGTAATTGGCATGGAAGGAATGAAAACGTAAGAACTCACTAGCAGACTTGTTCTTTTTATAGCTTAACAGGGCTTAGGTTTGGTGGGGTGTTTCTTTTTTGTTTTTTTGGTGGCTGGTTCGTTTCTTTTTTTTTGGTTTTTTTCCTACCTTGAGGCTCTCCCCTTCCATCCCTTGTTGCTCTTTCTTGATAGCTAGAGTTGTGATTAATGTGTAGTTGGTATTTTGCCTTCTTGTTCAGATGTGGAAAGGATGGTATCATGCCACTGCAATGTACTTTTCATTTTACGTGCTGTGTGCTTCTAAAAGATGAAAATACAACCTTTCATAATCTCATCTGAACGCTAATGCAGAGAGATGCAACACATTTAATTATCACAAATACATGAAACCTAGTTAATGCATGTGAATAAAGAAATAAAATTATGTTGACTATTGGCAGATTGATTTTTATATTTCTTAGTCAATCAGGAATAAAAATCAGGTACATATTTGAAAGGTGGCTTTTTTAAATCTGTAACGGGAAAAACAGAACAAAGTGCGGTGATTTATTCTGAAGGCATAACAGTTTCTGCAGGCATTTGTTATGATCCTCATGAGAAGATGTGCTGTAGAAATTAATCAGTTGTTTCTGATTCCCCACTTCCAGCAGATCAATCATTACAGAATTTAAATCACAGGATAGGTCATGATGTTCTTACGTCTTTTTTTCCTAACATACTTTTGTATATGCTTATTTAAAGGAAGAGCTGCTGGATTGTGTTGAAAACCGTGTTCATCAGCTGGAAGATCTGGAAGCAGCATTTGCCGATTTGTGTGACAGTGATGACGAGGAAACCCTACAGAAATGGGCTTCGTATCCTGGGTAGGAGATTTCTAAGAGGCCTAAATTGCAAATAGAAGTTTGAGAACTGATTAGTCCAGCATTTTGATAACAGAAAAGGATAGGATCTATGCAAGTATACGTGTTCTCCTTTAGTTCTAGAGGAGAAAGAGACAAAAGGAAGGGCAGTCTACTGCTTTCAGCACTACTTTAAGCTCTGGAAGCTCAGTCTTGTACAGCTTCAACAAGTTTTGTTGTCTATGGATGGAGGCATATTTGGTGACTAAAACCTTTGTCATCAGTGTGTAGCACAGCTCTCAAAAAAGGCAACAAACCAAGGAGGACATGGAGGAGCAGTTCTCTGGTGCTCCCAAAGGTTCTGCTTTCTTTGGAAAAATGGAAGCTAATGACAGTGTATCTGAGCAACAGTCTCTACTAAACATCTGAACTGCATCACTGCTTTTAAACTAGATGTTTTCACATGAAAAGTTGATGAAGAGAGACAGGGAAAGTCTGAGCCTTTCCTTGATAGGAAAATTACTCATTTTCCACATCACATGCAGCAGTTACTGTACAACCTCTGTAACAGTGACAAGAAGTATTTACTATAAATAAAGTTCATATGACTTTTGAGCTACAACAGCTCCCTTGAAGATCTAACCTAAAAGAAGCATAAGGAGGACTTGCCAGTGACAGGCATAAATATAGGGACTTCATAAGAAAGACCTGGTGAAACAGCACAGTAATACTGATAATTTCCATTTTTGCAGATGCAAGATGACAGAGAGGAGCAAATTTCCTTTTCTAATCATAGGCCACAATTTCTGCTTCTACTTTATTTTTTTTCTAATCATTTAAGTATATGTTTCCAGCTGTAACAAATTTTGGTTTTGTTTTAATTCCAGAATGAAGCCACTTGTTCAACTAGTTCACAGTTTGAAAACCAGGATGGAAAGCCCAGACTACGAAATGGTAGGTGACAAAGTAAAAGAGCAGAGAGCAGACAGATGTCAAAAGCATTGTTTCTACAGGGAGGGAGAGTCATACTTCCTTTCAGACTTGCTTCTTGATTCTGAACTTCGTGTGATTTTGGTTTTTTCCTGAGGTTTTATGTCTTATTACTTAGACCAGCTTTTCATTTCAAAGCTGCTAAAATTCTAGTCTGCTTGTCTGTCTATATTTAGGCAACTTCAGTGTGATCTTCCAGGACTGTGATGTCTTGGGGTGCATCCTGTGGATGGAGGCTAAATTTCACCAGTCTATTGATCTCCTTTGTAGAACTTAAAATAAGGTACCTATTTATAACATATCAGAGCTATATCATCTTTGATGGCTGCAGCATATTCTGAATTCTTAAGAGGTACAGTGTACTGGAGAGAATGAAATAATCCATACAACCTCCAGAATTTTACTTGCTTAAAGAACAAGCTGGGGGGAAAAACATCCTGTCAGAAGAGATGCAAGTTGTCTGATAGGCTAGGGATGGTATCTTTTAGACTTTCTACATGCATAAGCTGTATCAATAATTCATCTACAGAAATCAAATCTTTCGTTAATTTACCCACAGGTCCATCAAGCTGGTCTGACCTGTGATTATGTGGAGCTTCCTCACCATGTTAGCACTGAAGATGAGATTGAAGGCCTCATACAATCCATTAAAGTTCTGCTGACAGATCTGCCTAAGCCCACACTGGTGACAGTTGCTCGGTAAGACTGTGCAGATACTTTTGCCTTAAAATGTCCAGACTGTGCTCATGAAGCTAAATGATCCTATCAAAATGGCATTAGTTCTGTCTTAAACTCTGCTAAAGTAGAAGTCTTGTAGTGCTTCAGCATAGGTTGTGTAAAGGCTGTGATGAGGCCTTGTGTGTGTTGGGATTGATAGCTGTCACTATCATACATCAAAGTTCATACATCTCTACTGGTGTTACTTGAGCTAATTGGAGCAAAGCTGTCTTGGAATGAAATCTCACCTTACTGTCTTGCTCTATGGTTTATTGTCCTACAGATAAGATTTATTTTTGTCAGAGAAACTTTTGCTGGAGCTAGTTTTCATTTAATAGGCTGAAAGGTGTTTATATTCTTCAAAGCTCCAGTAAAACTTTGTTACGGGGTAAAGGTTAGGCTTCCAGGACTGTAAGGGTGTTATTTAGAGTAACAGAATAGGATTTGAGGCCAGGGACCTGGGAGAACAAAAGAACTGGCCTGAAAAAATATACTTTGAAGACCACAGTGTGCTTCTTGAAAAATTACTGCAATTTAATCAGTCAGAAATGCTAATTGTGCCCTTAATAGTCTGGCAACAATAGCAGAAGCTGATATGAAGCTGGTTTTCGCAACAAGAACTAATATGGTTAATGCCTGCAATAAAAGAAAGCTCTATTCCCTGTGCCAATTGGAGAGATATTATCCACTGTTGTGGAGAAACCAGAATAATCTCTGTAGATCTTAACAGATAAAAAAAGTCAGGAAGTCAGAAGTTAGTTTTTACTAGTATCTGTTTTAAAGTTCATTAATAGATACTGTAAAAAATGCTATACGCCAGGTATTGGGAAGATCTGTTTCTCAAGTTTTGCTGCCTACTTTACCAGTAGCATTTCAGTCATTTAGATTTTTCAGTCTAAATTTTCCACGTGTCCTTTAATAAGATCATTTGCTTGAACTTTGACTGCCAGAGTGTTCTGTGCCAGATTCAGGAAGAGAGTAGAACTGGAAAGATTTGATTGTGTTCTTGATTTGCTGCAGACTTTCTATTAAACCTAAAATGTAGTGATGAGAAGCACAGCACTATGCTTCAAAGGGATACTGGGAGGCAAAACTTGCCACAGTTTGAAAGAAGCTTCAGCCTAGCCACAGAGCAGTGCAGGAATACACAATGTGGTTGTGATGATGATATCTGTATTGTCATGCTTTTATTTTTGTTTTGTTTTTTTTGTTGTACAGATCAAGTTTGGATGACTACTGCCCTTCAGAGCAGGCTGACATCATTCAAGAGAAGGTTCTCAATTTACTACATTTGGTGTATGGCTCACTGGATGTGCACTTAGAATACTCAAGCTCTTCATCTTCTTAATGACTTTTCTTCATGTGTTGCTGTCTAATGCAGAGGATTAATTTGAATTGTTCATTAGCTGTGATTGCAAAGGGAGGACTGCTGTTATTTCAGCAGGTGGCACTAGAACCCAGGCTGACCCAGCTCAGGTTTGAGTTGCATTGTTTTCTCCAAGTCAGCTGCATCTGAACTGACTGTTACGTGTTTGGCTTTGTTCAGATTAGTGCTGTAATTACTGTTTTTACTGTCTTGTTTCTTAAAATTGATGCAAAAGAAATTACTGTGTCTATAAATTGAGGGGTTTTGTCTCATTTCTTTGTGTCTGTAAAAAATTATATATATAATTTCTTAAAATGCTTTCCTATGATGTATTTTTGTAATTTAGTAACAGATTTGCTCCTGAGTTGTATTTTATATCTTTTAAAAACTGGTCTTAAAAATGCCCTTAAAACTGTAGTTCTGTGGAGTGATCTTTCCTATCTGTTGTGCTTGAGATGACCCTCTCATTTCTCGAGAGAACCTCATGGCTTCTGCCCCATCCACAGAATATAATTTGTGTTTATTTTCTATTTCTCTAATATTGTCTTATTTTGCCTCAGAGTATTTTACTGGTGGCTTAGGTAATATCCCTAATGTACAGATATTTGGCTTGGTATTTTCACTTCTAGATAATTTTGAGGATAAAAAGTATGTGTGCATGTGCATGCTTTAATGTTTTAAATCCTGTAAGGAATTGATGGCTTCTTCAGAAACAAAGATTTTGTTTCACTGAAGTCAGCAGCAAAACATCCTGTACCAGGTTTTACCTCATTTCAGTATTGCTATTTAGGAAAGAACAGTTTTAGAACTATTTCATTTAGAAATCAATATAATTATAGAGAAAACCAGCACTTTCAGAGGAAAAAAACCCACAGGATTTATTGGAAATGAAACTGAAACAGGAAAGAGAAAATTCCACCTAGAATATTGTCTTTTATTAGGAATAAATTTTGCTTGTAATTTCTTCTGAAATAATGGAGTTCATTTGCTAACTTTACTGTTTGCTTTACAGAGACTTTGTGCACTTTCACAGTTTTTACTCCTTCTGCTGTTGATATAAATGACAATATTATAGATGGTAAATATATAATTCCTTTAAAATATTTGTTCCCGTAGAATAAATTCCACGACCATGGATCTGTTTTATTTGCTTTTTTGTGATGTGTCTGTCACAAAGATGTGCTTAGCCTTGGAGCCAATTTCCTTAATACTTCATAAATTATAAACAGCCATACACTGCATACAGCAATGAAGTGCAGTCAGATTATGTGCTGCTTGTGTAAAGACTGGGGATTTCTAAAGTTGAAGATCCTTAGTGCTGGGCTTTGCATAAGGTTGTAGGAAACAAAAAAAACCTTGTGGGGGTATGGCTGAGCCTGTTTTCCTTGGGGAAAGCTTGGACAAGGGA